GTGTTGTTGCAGTAGTACCATATATTTATGCCTTGGCTCGTCTTGTATAACTAAGCTGCCCAAGAACAGATATATAGGAAGTCTTTCTGCAGTCAATGTGGATCGAGAAGCATTTCATCCAGTTTATAATTTAATATTGCCTACAACGATATTCATAAAAAGTGTCTATTTTATTTATTATTCAGATTTTGTCTGTTCCTTGAACATAATTCATCTTTCTGTTCAATAGGACTCTGAAATTCAGCTTCTTCTACTCCCCGCACCGCCGCCTTGATCTAAACAAGGAGGAGTTGTACAGGCGGCTCCTCAACAAGAAATAGATGCTTTTGAGAGAAAAAGGAAGTCCACATCTTAATTTAACAAACTAGCTGAGAAGATCAAGACAGCTGCTTGTGCTCTAATCTACAACCGCTCTGCAGGAGGCAGCAGCAGCAGGGTTTATTGCAACTCGCTAGAGGTCACCCCCTCTCACAATCAGTGTCAGGCCTTTGAACCTCCGTGCCTGGGGTATATAAAGAATGTAGAGGAGATTATCAGCAGCTTTTTTAAAACTTTCCTCTTAAGTGTTCACTATGCTGCACCTCATGACGGTCCTAGGTATGCATATCCACGCACCACCCCCCCGAATAGATTAACACTGCAGGTATATGCTGCCCCATTCACTGGCCGCCAACAACCAGCCCGCACTCCAGCAGAAATTCAAAACAAAGTTTCAGGCGGATCGGGCTACAGATCCTGTTTCAATTGCCAAACCATAAGGCCCGAAACCCTAGACCCTGAACCGTAGAACCTCGGACTTCTGTTCAACATGTTTTCGAGACTAGCTGGGGTATATCCACGGTATTTGTTTGCAGTTAAACAACTTGATAAATTAATTAATTATTATTTTGGTTTAGGGAGGGGAATTTATGCTTCATTGCCCGTGCAAGCACCAGCATCGACCCTTCGCTCAGACCGCCACCACAACCAAGCCACTGGCTCTGGAGACGTCTGCAAACACCAAGGCAGGTGCCACACACCATTGCCGCTGCTTGCCTTGTCTGCATGTGGCACTAAGCCATAGCACGATCCACGGATAAAGGGCACATGAAGGCCGTCACAGCGCAAAAAAGCCCAGTCGTAGAGCACCGGAAGGGGGCCACACCACCCCCCGCAATGAGCAGGAGGCAGAGGGGGGGCTTCCCGCTGTATTCCCCCGTAAAAGGCGTTTTTGGAGGTGGATCTAGATTTAATTTGAACTAAAATGATTTGTTTAATTGGCTTTTAACCGTTGGGTGGTATGCGAAGACAGACATAACCCGAAACCAAGGCGAAATATCGTCTTACCACCTCGACCTGCCGCTCCTGCCGACCTGCCGGGTGTCTTGTGTTGCTTGTTCTTGCATTTGTTTAAATTAAATGGTTTATTTCAGAGGATACGTCATGAACGACAATTTCTGCTTGTTTTATTTTTTCTCAACATTAATTTATTGAATTTTATCTGTTGTTTGCAATTTTGGCTTTGCTGTCCCGGTTTTTGCCGTTCGCTGTTCACACGACTGGAGGACCACGCAAAGAACTCCGAACTGCTTGCCGTCTTTTCCCCTCTCCTCAACTTGAATCTTTACATTTCTCTTGCTGAGAAAACGTTTTTTAAAAATATTCTCTTCTGAATTCCGTCGCAATGGCTCCCCTTTACAAGGCCGCAGCAGCATTCTGCCTCGTCGGGCTGAGTTGGCTCCAGTCCGGGGCGAACGCCGACGCACAATATAAATATCAGGCAGTGCAAGTAGACGAAGGTAAACATACTACCGCTTCTAATTCTCACTCCTTGTGCTTTATTCCGTCTTGCTTGCTGTCAAGCCATCAACCACTCGGCTGAGTCAGACGGAGGTCGCTTCACTGCACATTGATTTTCCTGTCCGCCTTTGTTCTTTGCAGACGCCTACTTGACAGTCCAGTTGGCCCGTAATGGAAAAATTTCAGCTAAGACCAGTTTAGTCGAAAAGGACGCTGATACCGTCAGCGCCTTGGAGAAAAAAGTAAATGCCAGCCAAAGTTCACCACAAGCCTCGTGCGATGCATTATTAACAGGGAACCTTGTGAGCGCATTACACTATAAAATGCCCTTTTCCATGATGTTACTACGGGTAGTGTTCTGTCATAATCAGCTGCAGGTCTGAGCTCTAAGCACCGTTGTGAGGCCCGACAGAAATTATGCATTTATTCCTATGATTTTCGGAGACAGACTGAACATAAGAGGGCTGTTTTGTCGTTTCGTTCCTGTTTTGCGTATACAGAAGACGGTCTTTTATCACAGTTTCACAAACACTGAAAAAACAGACTATCGCGCACTGGTGCAAGCAGCTCTGAAGACCGGACTTGAAGAATTCGGGTAAGGAGATGCGATATTCATCTTCGCGACAGGCAGCTTCTACCTGCTGTCTTAACAAACCGAAGCAACAGCGATGATGCATAGCTCATCTACCATGCTACCGACGCCACTTTCTCGTCATCCATAGTAAAATCACTGCATTTATGTTGTGTTGCGCTGATTGTTTCTACTTCACAGCAAGACATATCCGCCAAACGCATCGGAGTGGGAAAAGATATGGGATAAGCAAAATCTTCACAGCTTGTTGCACCTTCTCGGAGCCAACAGCACTAAAGTCGGCTGTGTCATTGGAAACTGTGTAAAAACAGAAGCAGAAGAACAACAAACAACATCTGTGCTTTTCTGTGAATTAAGTCCTGCAGCAGCAGAGGACGAAGCCGTTTTTGGGTAAGCTTGGTTCTTTTGAGTAGAATATCTAGATGGGTCTTATGAAAGGATTTAGACGTGAACAGCACACAATAACTGGAGATGTATTCTTTGTTTCTGTCTGGTTGTTTCTTCTTTCTTGCAGCGAAGAGTACTTCAACGAACTTATTGCACGACAAGATGAATTAAAAAGTATGACGGAAGACGATCTCAAGGATCCTATTGTAACCAGCTCTGCAAATGTTGCCGTTCCCAGCATTCTAACTGCCGGTTTGGTCGCCA